TGAGCGCCAGAAGATTACAGCTGTTACAAGAGAGTAACAAACATAAAAAAGAAGAAGGGGAGATAAGGAAGGTAGATATTTGATACGAAAGAAGAAGCAGGCAGACAGACAGGCAGACAGAAAGACAGACACACAGACACACAGACACACACACACACACACACACACACACACACACACACACACACACACAGAGTCAGATTGACCGGCATGCAAGCAGACAGACAGACAGACAGACAGACAGACAGACAGACAGACAGACAGACAGACAGGAACAACAGTGGGAAAGTAAAGAAGTAAGGCCTACCAGCGGCGCCCTCCAACCACCCACTACATAACAACTTGATGACGGCGTTAGTGAACCCACAGGAGTCTCAGGAGTGGAATTGGACTTCAACAAAAATTATGCCACATTAGGTCCAAATAAAGAATGAAGAGTTACTGAGGAATATAGGACGTATAAAAACCGAAAACAATCTCGTACAGCATGATGGAACAGAAACTGAACTACTTCAGGCTTATCAAACGCCAAGAAACTCTCAAGAAGCATATTCTGAAAGCAGAGGTGGGTATTGAACAGGAAACGTCCGACTTATTCGAGTGGAAGACAGCATCTGGGGATGTATACACACGTGAACGGACACAGGGGACAGTACAGATGTACGACAGACTCGGCGGCATTGACTAACACCTTGACAGACGATACAACCAAAAATCAGACATGCAACAAGAGAAATATCGCTCAGCATAGGACCTGCATTCTAACCAACATAATAATAATAATAACAAATAAAAATAAATTACATTTTTATTTATCCCAGAAGAACAATTTTGTTTACAATGGCAAACGTACATACACATAAATACATACATGATACAAACATACATAAATCCAAACACATAAACATACATGAATACACAGTTATAAAAAAATATATACATACATAAATGCATACACATAAACACACATAAATACACAATATTACACCAATACAGAACAATTTTAAAACCATACCATTGCTGGTTGCCACTGTTCAGTGCCCGGTATCCTAACTTCACACCAGCATGGATTGCACCAATACAGGGGCGCATTGAGAGAAATCTCAGAATAGGTCCAACATTCATACCAACATAGTGTACAACAGACATATAACGAGAGAAATTTCAGAATATTACCTACATTCATTCCAAAATTGAGTCAGTCCTTCTTTATATTTTTTTGTAATTGGTTGACTGACGCTTTAGTGGGGTTTGCCACTTCTTTGCTATAAAATATAATATATCGTAATTATCTCTCCTCCTTTTTTGTATGTATTAGACTCTTTTTTCTTGACAATTTTAGTCTTCGCCACTCATTATTATGACCTAATTAAGTAGGGGGATAGGTCCGTTTTCGTTTGTTTTTTTAGCTTTTACTATTAATTTTTTTTCGAAAGAGTACGTTGTTTTGTTGGGACCTAAAGTTTTGTTTTGCTTTTCTAAGAAAGGAAGGGGGGCTCTCTAGGCTTGGAGGTTAAGGTGTTCGCCTCTCTTTCAAAGTTCCGGGGTTCGAATCCGGGTAGTAACAGGAAAATTTTCTTCTCTAAAAATTGTCTCATTTCACCTTCTTTCCTTCTTTCTTTCAATATTTTGTCGTCTGCTTTTGTCTCCACTTTCTTCCCCCACCCCTTCACCTCCTTTGCCCCCTCTACTAGGCTCCGGACCTCTTTCTGCAGCCTTTCTACTGCTACTCTGTGGCTCCTTCTTACTGCTGTTTTTCAGCCACATCACTGAATAAATCTTCTGGTAGGAAAGATGTACACATAGCCTTCTCGGACAAGGGCAAAAAAAGTCTGTGAGGTCCCGTGTGCACGTTGCGCAAAAGATCCCTTGGTGGTCTAAAATCGATAAGAGTAAGCTTCTGCCGCCACCTGGACAAAATTCAAAATTTCCTGTCAGTTGAAAATATTTAGAGTGTCCTGCGCACTCATTTGATCTTATTCAGTTGCGAGCGCCGTAAAACAGTTACCCAAAAAAGATGTAAAAAATTGTTCGGCTTGTGGTATTTGTGTAGGTTTGTCTGGTGGGAAAAGGACGGAGACGT